CTTTTTTTTTTTTTTTTTTTTTTTTTTTTTTTTTTTTTTTTTTTAACAAAACCAGAGCCAATCAAAACCACGTAACAAATCCACTGAACTTCAGGTTGTTGCTGTGTTGCGTTGCAACATTTTGAAACTTCCCAGAATAAGGCTTTTGTCTGCAGGACGGAGCCATTTGCGCAAGGCAGAGATATGTCCGGCTGCAGGGAGCAAGCTCTGTGCACACAGAGCCGCAGAGGTCAGTGCTCCTTGGCAGGCAGGAGCACTATGCTACACGTGTGTGCACACCCAGAGCAAAACGCACGCGCTTATTTATTAAATTGTACCATCAAACCCTTCAGCAAGAGAAAGCTGTGGTTGCAAACTTGTCAAAGCAAGGAAACAGAAAAAGTAGGCAGTGCAGCTCTTCAGGGAAGAGGGAATGAAGGATGGGGGGTCTGCAGACTGGAATTATCCTGGCTCTGATGATTTTATGGTGGAGACAGGTGAAGCGAAACCTGAGCAGGGTAACTTTAGCCAGAGAGAGTGATAGAAATAAACAATGTTATTCCTGGAAAGAAGGGGTAGTAGCTGTCTCTCTGCCAAAGTGCACTCCAGCCCAGAGCCTATTAGCAGCAGATTCCTTCCTGCGCTCCACCTCCCAGTGCCAGGGCAACGGTCCCAGGTTTTGACGTCAAAGCTGCCTTTTGTTTGTTGCACAGACCTTCCCTTTGCAGGCCGAGCAGCCGGCAGCGCTGAAGCAGCGGGGCAGAGGGCTCTGCTGTGCTCAGAGCTGCTCTCACCACAAGCCTCCAAGGATGGCCCTCTTCCCGCAGTACCAATTCCAGCCCTTTCAGCGGAAAGAAAATAGAGTTCAATATGTCTAAACTGTTTTAATCCTGAATTGCCCTTTCACTAACCTTTCCATCAACTTGTACTGTGTATTATCTTTTGTGGTTTTATCTTGCGTTATTTAGATAGCAAGATCTGCAAGCGAGGACTCTTTCCATACACACGAGAGAAGACTGTAAATCTGCTTTGGAACCAACAGGTATATTTGGAGAAAACCCTCAGAGAGACAGTGAGAAAATCTCCCAGCACTCCAGGACAGGACTCAGATGCACACAATTTCAGAACAGCAGGAAGAACGAGGCCTCTTGTTATTAGGAAATGTCCAAACTGGTGGCTTCCCCAGGTGAGCAGAGGACTCACAATGCCTTGGGCATGTACAACCATTCCTTGGCTTTCCCAGCCACAAGCTGCCCTGGGGCACAATGGCACTGCCAGGGCAGGCTTCTCCTGCTAAAGAGGCTCTTAAGGATGCAGCCAGAGCAGTTGCTGCAAGATTATGCCACCTCTAATATAAATTCAATATACTCTATTCTGTTTCATAGCCTCTTTGTTTAAAGGCTGAAGAATTCAGGTAGATGAACAGAGGTCAAGAAGAAATGGAAAAATGTAGTCACATAATACACAAAAGAAAAAACAGGGCTGGTAATCAGCTGCCATGGGTTTCCGAGAGTAGATGCCAGCCTTCTCACATGCTCAGTGTTAAGATCTGACCACTTTCACAATGCTTCTCTTTGACAGCAGCAAACCTGACACTTGCTGAGCTAATTCCCAGTGGTGCCCTCCTATTCCCCTGCTGCCCAGGCTGCCAGGCCCACCTCCCTCTTTTCCAGCAGTCCAAGACCCCCTCCCCACACAGCTGGGCTGCAGGCTCTCCTTTTCTTCCCTTTTGAAAGCTTAAAGCTGGGGACTTTCCATATCTTCCCTGTTTGCAGGATTCTCAAACTAGTGCTTAAACTCATGATTTTTGCATGAGTACTGCTGCTGGCTTCATCTGTCCATATCCAAGTGCACAACAGGGCTGTTACCTGCTGAGTGAGGCACAGGGCCATTGCTGCTGGGATGCAGCATTCCTGGGCTATTATCAGTAACGAGATGAGCAGCATATGTTTTCCATGCTAGTGGAAAAAAAATATGAAAAAAAGACCTTTCCATCATCTTTGCTGTCTGAAGGACAGACTCGATGTCCTTAATTCCTAGTAAAGCATTAATTTGTGAAGCAGAGAATGCAAGCTACCGGCACCCCAGCAGAGCCTGCTCACCCTATGCCACACAGAAAGCCACGCTTCGCAAAGAACCAGCCTGTGTCCAGTCTCTGGGACACCCCATCCAAGCCCAGCCAACCCAACGCTGCACGGCAGAGCTGTGAGGGGGAGGCTCTTTGAGGCCCATGGAACCACGCTCCCTCTGTCTTTCAGCCAGACTCTTAACACACATGCACAGAACCATGTGTCATGTTTCAGCTCTTGGAAGCTCCTTGCAGCGCTTCCAGGAAGTCCCACTGAACCCCAGGGAGAGGCCCGCTCCCTTCCGCTGGCCCTGTGGTGAGCAGGACGGGCGATTTGTTGAGTGCAGGCCCAGGGGTGATGCCTGGTGCCAGACCGGGGCCTGCCAGCTGCTGGGCCAAGCTGGGCCCTGCATGCAGTACAACGCCAGGCTGGGCTGCAGCTCTGGCTGAAACAAACACTGCCTGGGGGTTCACTGGGGAGATACACAGAACTTCATGTGGCCTCATGCAGAGACACTTTCTCTAACATAAAGGCTTGAAAGAATTGAGCCTTGGGGATGACTAGCAACGTGAAGTTAATTTATGTCACACAGCACTGTCTAAAATCAGGCTACGATGCAGGAAAACTACTTCCTGGTATTGAAGAGACAGCTATTCCAGGAACTCAGCAGGGCCCTCCTGCTCCATCCAGGTGAACAGCACAGGGCTCATCTGAGGGGCTGAGCCCTGTGCCAGGTCTTGGGAATCAATAGACTGAAGGGCTGTCAGGGTGGAGTGGCTGCAGGGGCCGCTTTTGGCCCTTAGGCTGCTGAGTCTGGAGGAAGTCATCCTTTCCAGGCTCTTCCCTGTCACCACAAGGGCTGGGAATCATCTTTTCTGAAAAAGAAAAGAAAATCACAGATTCTTATCTCATCGTGGGAGAGAATGATCAAGGCAGAGGTTCAAACAAAACACAGTACCCACAGGGAGCCAGAAGCAGTTCTCAAGACTGTAACGGCCACTGAAAGATCTGCCTTCAGCAGGCAGCTGGCCGCAGGGCAGGAGCTTTACTGTGCCTTCTTATGCTCTGCCAGCTCCCATCCCTGCCAGCACCATCCTGTGCTTGGACAGCACAGGAGAGGCTGTGCGTTAGCCAGGGGCCTCATTCATGTCACTTCATTTGTAGGCATGGGCAGGGGAGTATTTCTCACACCACACCAAATGGCCACATAGCCAAACAAAATTCTCACCCTCCTCAGCACCAAGCAGCTCCTTTGTGTCCAGCTGCTGTGACACATCACATTCATCCTGAAACAGGACAAATGGCATGGAGCTCAGGCAGCTCAGGGCCACAGCCGCCTTGACTGCTCCATCTCTGTCACACTTTTTTGCTTGAGATGTTGGTGTAGAGAAGTAAGGAAATAGAAGTCCTGGGAGGAAGTGAGTCAGGAAACCTGCAGCCATTGCAGGGGAAGTGTGACTCAGAGCACACGGTGCTCACCGCTCCCCAACACCCTGGAGGAGGTGATAAGATTGTGCAATCCCCAAGATAGCTTGCTGCACATCCTAATTCTGCTGATCCTCCCAGGGGAGGGGTGCCTCTGCTGAGTACTGTACACTAGCTGATTTCTTAGAATAAAGTGTGACAGCTCCCTGTGAGCTCAGCGCGTGGGAGGGGGGATGCTGGGCTGCCTGCCCGAGCTGACAGAGCGAGGAGCTACAGAAGCACCGAGCTTATCGAGAGCGCAGCAAGGACCTGGCAGAAACCTCTTGTTTAGTTTATTTGTTCTTCTTTTGGAGAGAGCGGGGACCTCAGTGTTTGAAAACCACAGAGGAACCAGCTAAAAAGCAGAGAGGAGAAAATCTGAGAAGGAAAGGAGGGCGAAGGTGGTGGCAATAGGAGGGGAAGAGGCAGTGTGTGGCCAGGTGGGCTGGCCAGGGGCAGATGGAGGTAAATAACAGCAGGACGAAGAAGCCAGGTCAAGCAAGGGAAGCTCAAAAGAAGAGCAAGGCAGGGAGAGGGAGAATGGAGAAAGGTCACGGGGAGAGTCACTTAGGAGTGATGAGGAAGGTAGAGAAAAATCAAACAAGGCCTGAGGGAGCAGAGAAACATAAGCAGCACTGTGCTGAGGGAAAGAGGCCGCCCTCCGTTCTGAGTTCTCAGCAGACACCAGAGCTGAAGTGTACATACTAGGGCCTCCAGTCATTGGTATTCATACTGAAAAACACCCGGAGCCCTATGGCAGGCAGATGGAACATGACAACACAGCCCTCTGTGAGCCATCCAGGACCTGCTCCCTACCAGGAACACAGGCCAAAGCAGAGCCAGCACTCGCACTGCCTCCCCACCAGTACCTGGGCAGAGCCCAGCACTGCCTGTGTTCGTACAGCACTCGAGGCAAAAGCACCTCAGGATGCATCTGGAAATTTCTACTGCACAAGACACACATGCCAGCTGGGCTTCCATGCTCCCTCCTGCTGCTCCCTGGAGACACAACCATGCCTACTACATTGCTCCTGCACACATGCTGCAGCTGCTTATGATGAGCTGAGAAAGAGGCACTCACTGTCCCCAGATGGACAGGGCTGGCATGGAAGCATGCATGGGCCTTCAAAAAATCCCACTGCACAGTCAGAAAGGATCCTGGCCCAACTGCTCAGTGTCAAAAGCCACGAAGCCACCAGAAACAGGACATGAGTTAGGGAAACGCAGGCCTCTTTCTACAGAAAATGCACTCTTAAGAGGGGACTGCTCTGCTCTTCCCAGAAAAGCTTCACGCTTGAACATGGGGGGTTTGTCCATTTGAAGAATAACTAAACTGTATTTCAAGCACTGTTTCGGAGTCCTGTGTGTGCACAATAGAAATACCACACCACCTTTCAGCTCCAAATCTGCCACGCTGTTGGTTTGGGTTACGAGCCCCAAGTGACCACATCCATTTCTGACCTTTACCCCCAGCTGTGGTGCAGCAAAGGTGCCGACTGAGACTCAGAAGCCCCAAAGTCTGTTTGCATTTCTGCCCTGATAGGCTAGCTGTACTGGGGCAAACCACTGCACATCCCCAGGCTCCTGGTCTCTCTTTTCCCTGTGCTTGCCTCCACGATATTGAATGCAAGGCTTCTAGGTGTGGGCTGCTGGAAAGTATATGCCTGTAATGTTAAATGCACTCCAGACTGCAGAAAGCTAAATGGCTCTGCAATGGAAATAATGAGTACTTGAAGTTTTGTGGCTGGTATTTCTAGGACAAATGTCACAGCTCATGTGACCTAATGTCCTAGGGCCCCAAGCCTAGGAAGAACAACTGCATGCTGAGGAGCAGGCAGCCTGATTCTGATGCTTCTACTAATAGCAGTAACATTTTTATCACAGGAGCCCAAGTCAAGGAAAGTTCTTATTCCTCATCCATAGAAACTCAAGGCTGTTGGAAAACCGGTTAGCAGGAAGGCTTTGCCAGATTCTGAGATGGCTGTCACAGGGTCACTGAGATCATATACGCTACTGCCTTATTTTGCTGCCATCAGTCTGTTCCTTAGAAATAGGACAATGATATTGTGTTCCTGTATGTGTTTATCTGTAAGGCCAGGGTGCAAGGGCAGAAGCCTGGTATCACACTTTGTAAGCATGGTTAGTCACTCTGCCTCCCGCAAGCACTCTCCCATCTTATGGGCATGGTACAAGGCCAAGGCTGTGTCCAGCAGGGCTTTTGTTTAAACCACATTGTGTGAGCCTGACTCAGCTGCTGACACCTCCTCACCACACAGGACGCCTGCAGTCTTTTGCAGTGGCTCTGGTTTTCCTTTGAACCTGTGCTAATAGCAAAGCATTAGGTGGAAGAGTATTCTTCTAGTTACTGTTTTTCAAGATGCTGCTTGGCCTAGATCAATTCCAAGAACTGAGGCAGTCAAACAAAAACTTTTACAGGCTCGTCAGCAGCACGAACATCACTGCTCTGGCAACTTCCCACGCTGCAGCAAGAATTTGCACAAACCAAAATGAGACCACACGCAAGAGAAGGGCTGAGCAGAGAACCACGAGTGGCAGCACCTTCAGCTCCGCTGAACACAGCAGAGGTGGCAGGCAGCCTCTGGCACCACACAGTGTGCTTCTGCAGGAAACACGCTCGAGTCAGAGAACCTCCCTGCTGTTGTTCATCTGGGCAAGCAAGTTGTAGCGCTCCCACGGAAGAGAAGGGAAGACAGGGAGGGCCATTGGCTCAGCTTCCTCCCAAGAGGGCACACTCCTGGACAGCCCTTACACACTGCTGCCTCTTTGCTGCAGAATGGAGTTGAGTAGCTGTGAACTTCTTTGGGGGCAGGATGGGGGCAAAGCATGGGCTTCAGCCAGATCCCAGTGCTTCAGCTCTTCTTCTTTCACCTCCTGTGCCCAGAGAATCAGTAGTTTCCACAAACTATGGTTAGGCACAAAGACCATCTTATCAAGCCAGCTCATTGTGTGCAGCACCCAGCAGCAGCTACAGAGAATTTGACATCCTGGGTTACCCAAGCCCCACTCATTCTCTCCTCCTTTGTGTGTACCTTGACAGATGCCTTTGCTGTCATTCACAATAGGTTTATGTCCTGGATGAACATACTGAGGAGCTGAAATTGGAAGCAGACCTCCTCTAAATTGGACTGCAAGTGTAAAACCTCCAGCCTGACCAAAAGCAGCTTGATGACCTATGTCAAGTGGAAATTCAAGTCAATTTGAGGCACAGAGGGAAAGGAAGGGATTTCCTTGCTCTCTTGAATAGGGAAAGTCACATCACAGCAGAAAGACCTCTAGACTACTCTTTGGCTAACTGCATCCATGCAAATAGCAACAGAAATATTTATATCTATTACATCCTGGTCACTTTAAACTGCTTTCTGGGTTCCATCAGGGCCACCACAGCCATCAGACTCATTAAATTTGGCACTGGGGCTATGGCTGAGACAGTCACAGCTGTGAAGTAAAAGCTTTGAGTCAGCCTGAAGAAAGAAGCAAATGAGCCAGTGTGCTTCCAGTGACCCAGTAATAGTCGGTGCTCCCAGAGAGCGCTGCCTGGGAACCCCACAGAGTCACTGCATCCCACACTACACTGAGGCACCAGAAAACAGTGCTTGGTTGCAGTCACACAGCAAGAACCAGAAGCCAGTATAGCCAATTACAAGATTATTAACTGCAGCTCTTCCTCCTATCCATAGAACAAGCACAGACCCCATGTAAATGATTTCACTGAATGGAAGGGATTTTGCCCTATGGCTCACAGCGTCTTCATGTGGCACTGGAAGCACACAGTGACAAACATTTTGAGCACCAGCACAATGCTGCAATTACCCTGTCATGGTATACTTTAATCAGGATGATTTTGGGGGAGCCTGTGGCTGGGAAGTTCCTGGAATACCAAAAGGCACCTCCCTCAGCCTGGGCAGGAGGCGGCCACCAGCACAGTCAGCTGGCTGAAAAGCTGCTGCTGCTTCAGCTCTTCAAGGCAGGAATAAAGAACAGAAGGTGGTCCCAGCATAAATCTATTGAACCTGGGATACATGAAGGGTATGATGTCACATCACCTGCCAGACTGGCTTCCAAACACCTGGCTGCAATGAATGCAGGCAGCCTTTGTTCCCTTCCAAATGATCACAGCTAAAGCACACAGAGCCTCTTCTGGAGCAGTGAGGGTTAACTCAGGCGAGCAAACAAGGGCTGAAGATCAGCTCATCTTTTCCATTCAGACAGATCCTGCTACAGAAAATGCTGGTTTCTCGATGCTCGGTGTCTCAGCGACTTCCAGGAACAGTGAGCTAAACACAGCTACTCTTCCCAGCACCAGCTGAGGGGGCGGCAGGGGATGGAACACAGCCCTGTTCTTGGAAGGCAGGAAAAAATAAGGCTCTGGCAGAGCTGTGCAAGCTTGCCT